CCCGTTTTTTCAAAAAGGTTTGGGGTTACCGGGGCGCCCCCCCTTTTTTTTTTTTTTCCAATTTCGCAATAAAAATTTTTATCCTTTTTTTTTTTCCCCCGGCCCTTTTTTCTTTTTCAGGTCTCCCCCCCCTTTCAAAAAAGGGAAAAATTTTCCATTTTCCTTGTTTTCCCCAGCCCCTTTGTTTTTTTTTTTTTTGTTTTCAATTTTTTTGGGGGGTTCCCTTTTTTTCGTTTTTTTTCCGGGGGGCCCCCCCTTTTTTCCCCCCTTAATTTTTGGGGCTTAAATTTTTTCCCTTTCCCTTTTTTGGTTTTTTTTTTTTTTTTTTTTTTTTTCCAAATAAACCTTTTGGTTAAAGGGTTCCATTGGGGAAATTTGGGTTGGGTTGGGGGTTGGTTTTTTGGGGCCCCCCCCCTTTTTTTTTTTTTTCTTTTAAAACAAATTTTTTGGGAAGGGGGTTCCTTTTGTTCCCTTTCCCTTTCCCCCCCCCCCCCCCCCCCCCCAACACCACCATCTGCAGGGACCCCTTCCAGGCTGACAACGGGGGTGGGTTCGGCGGCGGCGGCGGGACCTCTTTCCTTGTGGACGGTGATGGGGAGATCGGGGCTGGGCTTGGTTCTGGCGGCGGTGCGGGCTCTTCGGAGTCGGGTGGGGTGGGTGGGGGGGGGGTGGGGGTGACGCCGGTTACCCTTGAGGATAGGCTTTGCGTCGACATGAAGGCAAGTTTTCTTTGCCGTTGTTGTTGTTGTTGTTGTTGATGTTGTTGTTGGTGATGTCTTTGTTGTTGGTGGTGGTGATGTCTTCGGTGTTGGTGTTGAAAATGATGCTGATGTCGTTGTTGTTGTTGCGTTGCATGTCAGCCATCGTCGTCGTCGCTGTTGTTGTTGTTCCTTTGCATATCGATTGTCGCCGTCCTTGTTGCTGTAGTTGGCATTGGTGCTGCTATCCCAGTGGTGCATGCCGTTTTGGTGACGTGGGGGTTTCTGACTACAAGACATGGGGAAGAGGCCATGGGTCTCCATGACAAGGGAAGGCTACAATTGTCGCTACCTTACCAAATACCGTACGTAGGTGACGTAGTGTACCGCACACCCCGGACCGATTTTCAAAGCTCGACATCTCAGAACGAGAGGCGGTGGCGTCAAATGTCGGGAACCATCTCGTCGTAAGCTTTCCCAAAATGTCTCGTCTGATTGGTGCATCCAGGACTAGCCTAACCCCCCATGAGCTAGCACCTCTCCCGATTGTGACGTGTTGGATCTTGTTGCCTCCGCAGATTGTGAACGACGACTACGCATTCTACGACACCGGCGCCCTTGCGGCGGCAGCGGCCACGTCCAGCAACAACACCTGGGCCGGCGCCTCGCATTGGAAGTTCGTCGGCGTCAAGAAGAAGGTGGGGCGACTTTGGGACGGTCTTTTTTTTTTTTTTTCTTGGACTCCCTTCGCGGCAAGTTTAGTTTGTGAGGAAATAGAAGAGGGAGAGGTACGCATATATGCCTACTTCTCTATTTGTCCACTATTATAGACTACATGGTTAGACCAGTGTAGGCTATTAGGTTGTACTGTACCCGGTATTATGTTTTTTTAGACAAAATCATGGGGTGTAACTATGCTCAACTTCCCCGATTGCATGCTTTATCCGACACGTTTGTACTTAGTTCAAGAACGATTGGAAGGCTACTGTTTTTTTATTATTATTTTTTTTGTCATGCGCCAAGTGCTGCGGCTTCTTGGGACCAAATTCGCCGTTACTTCTAAGCCAGAAGAAAGGCTACAGCCACACCTTGCTTGTGCTGGCGGGTGGGAGCTTGTTATCGTGTTATGTACACACGGGTCAGAATTTTGAGGCTTTGTTCGCGGTTCACGGTAGCGAAGGCACACCACTGACGACCGAGAGATAATTGAATTGTCATGACCTCCCGTAACCACTCAACAATTGTGTTTTTTGGAGCTGCGGCCGATGTGCGATGATGGGAGAGAGAGGCGCGTAAAGGGTCATGCAGGTCACGTCATGTCTTCGGTGTTTCGCTACACAGAAGGCAGTCGGCACGTCTCCTACTTTCTTGAATGAACTCTTAGAAAAAAAAATGTTGTGGTCCACCTGTCGTAGCGGCCGGCGCGCAACAAGCGCGGGCAGGGAGGTGGCGGGATGGGACCCGATGGGGAGCCGATGGTCGACGAGGATGGCAATGAGCTGGACTCCGGGGATGCCGTGGGAGGGCGCAAGGCCAGGGGCAAGCGGCGGCCTCCGGCGATCGACTTCGACGCAGCGGTGAGAGGCAGGCACGCTTGGGAGTTTGGAACAGATACATAATGTCGGGGCAGATGTTATACTTCATGCGTGTGGCACTCAATCTTTCGATGTGTGCCGGCGTGTTCTGTAAGACCTCCGATGCGTACAGTACGTGATTTTTGGGAACAGAAGACGTTTTCGACCCGAGAAATCTGCATGCTTTATAACAATGTTCGATAACAAAGCACGACGTTGACAGCATGGTATTTCGACCCGAACAGTAGGATGACTTTGGGAGCAGGCGTTTTCCGTCCCGAACCGTTTCGTGTACCACGACGTGTTGCTTGCAACGTCGATGGCGCGTCAGTTTCACGGCGTTTGGTACTCTTCCGTCATCGATCACCTGGCCTGTTTTCTCCACAACCAGCCGTTCAGATTCGGGTGTAAGTTGCTGCTGTCGAAAGCGTTTACAAGTTCGAGGTTCACTCAGGCACTCAGGAACAGCGAACACCAACACGTATACACAGCTTTTTGGAGTATGATCCATGTCCACGTTGTTGCATCAGTCTATCAGTTACCTCGTACCAACGGCGTCATTGGTAGTTATCGTACAAGGGCGGGCTTGTACGTACAAGGGCGGGCGATCGCACAGCCCGATCGCACAAACCGTCCCTTTTTGAACACGAATTTACCCCCCCCCAGCATACCCTTGCGTGCCGAACCGCACAGCCTGTCGCAGACAACGCCACGCCCTTTGTTTTACCTCTACCGCCACCATACTTTCTCCCGTGTCTTGCCCCCCGCCTTGCCATACTCTCGTGTGCCGAATCACAAAGCCTGTCGCAGAGAGCGCCCTGGCACCACCGGCTAAACCCAAGTCTCGGGGGCGGCGATCGCAAGAGCCGACCCTGCTCTCCGAGGACTACGTCAAGAGGTGCATTAAACAGCGTGTACCTTGCGTGAAACAGGGTGTACCTTGCGTTAAACGGCAGTATACATACAGCAGTAGAGGTCCCTCCCTGTGTTAGTGCCGGTATGTGCCCGGAAAATTCATCGGCACTATACCGGACCGGCACTATTCAACGTGTTGACAATGACTTGGGACCTCAGTGTGTGCCCGCCGAAAACACCAGCACTATCCCGGGCATTGGCACCAAGCAACGGACACCAAGCAGGGACCTCTACTGTACTTGGGGCAGCGTTGTGCGGCCTGTTTGTGGTGTTGTTGGTGGCGTGTTTGGAATGTTTTTTTCTTTTTCCCGCGGAAGTGAACCGAAAGTGCTGTGCGAATGCGGCTATGCTGCACTCGTTTTCATTTCATAGAAGGACGGGTGCCTGAAAAGAAGACAAAAACCAACACACAATTTGGTGCCTATCGCAACCCGTTTTGTGTGCGTCTTTTTCTTGAAATCGTCCGTGCTACTGCAACCGGCCTGCCAATGAAAATGCCCCCGCCTCAGTTCGACTAATTTCCGCCAGAGCTGCACAGGGCATTATCTTGTGTCCCGTAGGTGTCTGGGTGCTTCTTGAGGTCGTTGGTGTTGGCGTTGTTAAATGATGGCGTGTTTGCCGTCCTTGTTCCTGCTGCCGCTGCTGCTGCTGTTGTTGTTGTTGCTGTTTTTTGTGCTGCCGCCGCCGCTGTTTTTTGTTTTGTTTTGTTTTACTGCTGCTAATTTTGCGGTCGTTGCTGCTGACGATGACGCTGCTGTTCTTCGTCCTTGCTATGAACCCTGCAGGGCATTTAAGGCGGCGGAGGATGGCTCGTCGAACTACGCCCTGCCAGAGAACGCCAGGTTTAAGGTGCGTCGATGTCGATGTCAATCCCTCTACGCGCCGGGTGGGCTTGTCGTTCTGTTGTTGTCGTTGCCGTTGCCTTTCCATCTTTTGGAGGACAGCAGTGGTAGCGGCGGTTTTAGTCCGGAAAATGTGCAGTTTTGGATGTTTTTCTCGTTGCTCATTGAGCATGTCCTCTCGATGAATTTGCTTGGCGACCTCACTGCTTGTTATAGCAGTTGCTGTTTTGCTCCTGCTACTGCTGTTGAATATCTCTCTCCCTCTCTCTCTCTCCCCCCCCCCCCCT